GCTCCCGTCGCTCGGCTCCCAGGGCTCCCCGCCGGGCCGGGGCCGGGCCGGCCGAGTTGGCCCGGGTTCCTGCCGGGGCCGCGGGTCCCTGCACCCCGCTCTGTGACTCGCTCAGCTGGGAGACAGAACGGCGCGGCCGGGCGGTGCGTAGGGGTCGGGCAGCGGGCAGCAGTGGCGCTGACGTTTTTGCTGGCTTCCCCGCTGGGCAGTGGGCGGTAAGTGCCTTTCCTAAGTTACCCTGGGTTATCAGGGTTGTGTATGAAGACGGTGGCAGTTAAGCTGTTTTTCCGTTCTTTTTTTTTTTTTAAACTGTTAAAGAGTAAAGGTTGTTAAAAAAAAATTGGGGTGGGGGGGCTTGCTGAGTATTCTAGAAGGTTGTGTTAGGTGTGTGCTTCTCTGTGCGTGTGCCCCTGTGTAGATCGCTTCCAGGCGTTTGAATCCTAACTGGGTTTAGCTGGTCTAGGAGTTTCCCTTCTGGGAGTTTAGGTTTTGTTTCGCGTGTTGTGTCGCCCAGTATAAATTGGTTCCCGGCATTTTAATCCCGCCAAGTTTAACTGCTTTAGGAGCTTCCCTTGTAGGAGTTTAGATTCAGAAGGCTCAATCCCATCCACAAGGTAAGGGATGAACACCCTAAAGACCGTGGGCACGGAAACTTGTTGCCCCTCAGATAAAGGATGATGCAGGGAGGCGTAGCTACAAGCAGACAGACACCAAGACCGCGCTCACTGTTTACAAGCGCGGCCAGTTTACGAGGCCTGTACGCTGAACTGCTCTTTCATCTTCACTACAGTCTTGTGAACAAAACTAAACCAAACCTGTTGCCGGTCAAGTCGCTTCTGACTCATAGTGACCCTGTAGGACCGAGTAGAACTGCCCCACAGTGTTTCCAGAGCCATAAATCTTTCGGGAAGCAGACTGCCACATTTTTCTCCCACAGGGCGGCTGGTGGGTTTGAACTGCCAGCCTTTTGATCAGCAGCCCAGGGCTTAACCACGGTGCCGCTTGCTTGTCAGTCTTGTGAGAGGTGCTATTAGCATCCTCGTTATACAGCCTAGGAAGCAGAAGCTCACAGAGGCTGACTAACTTGATGGAGAGCTGGCATCCAGTGAGTCAGTGTTCTGGACTCCAAACCTTTCACCTCCTACACTACCACACGATGGCCCCGAGCGGTCCCCGCCTACCAGAGCTTTCTCCCAGGGCGCTGCTGGGAGGGAGGAAGGCTGCCGAGAAGGGTACGCAGATGCTGATTTTTGACCTGGGCGGTGCTCCAGTCTTTACTTGTGCCAGGACGCTCATCACATGGGCTTACTCCCTGGGTGTAACTCCATGGCCTAAGAACAGAGGGAAGGGATGCTTTGGGGCCACTGATCCCATGGCGAGAAGGTAAGCCGAGGTCCTTCCATCATTGGAATCTGATGTCTGGGTCAGCCTGCCTTAGTGCTAAGCTTGTGGAAGGCAATGTACACATGGCATGCTGTGACTATTGGTGAGCCAAAGAGAGCAAGAGGTGGTGCTGGGGACATTTGCTGTCCCTTTGGGCATCTTTTCCTCTCTTGACCCCATATGATTTCTTATGTATTTAATATCCTATTTAATATTTCATTTGCTATTCTGTATTAATATCTTTTGTTGAGTTTTGTGCTAGGAAATTAAGTAGAGCGTTTTAGGATGGCATTTGATGGGGTGGGTGGATGTGTGAACCACACTGATTTGTTTTCGGTCTGATTTGGCTGGCTGCCATTCTCCTTCATGTGCACATCCTTGGCACCTTTCCGCACATGGGTGGCCTCCATTCAGTTCAAGAAAGGACCTTTGACCTGAAATCTCGCATGATATTGACGAGGCAGGACCAAACTCCACTCTTCCAAGGGGCTTCACTGCTGGCATATGTGGTCCTGTGGCAGCTCGATTTTCTTTCTGGTTCCAAAACATGTAGCATTTTTTAACTAGTTTTTCCAGCGTTGGTGTATCACTGCTTAATGTTCGATTTATTTTCTTATTTAATAATGTTTTTTGACGTTTCCTATGTACCAGGATGAGCCCTGGTAGTGCAGTGGTCAAAGCACTGGGCTGCTAACCAAAAAGTTCGAACCCGCCAGCTGCTCTGCGGGAGAAAGATGTGGCAGTCGGCTTCCATATGGAAACCTTGGAAACCCTATGGGACAGTTCTACTCTGTCCCCCAGGGTCACGATGAGCCGGAATAGACAGGGTACATACCAGGCACTGTTGTAAGTTCTGGGATAGAGCAGTGAATAAAACAGACAAAAACCCCGTCTTCTTGCTGGAGGCTTAGGACGTTGACAGTCTCTTGAATAAGGCTGTCCATGGACATCTGCCCCTTTGGCCAGGATGTGGGCTCACTGGTGCCCACAGGACCCCGCTCAGCTTCTCCAGTGGAGAGGGTGGGAGGATGAGGGACCTGGGTCCAGCTCTGTGTTCCCCTAAAGAAGAGCTGAAATGCACTCCGTAGCTTGGCTGTCGGCTTGTGGGGAAACCACAAGATGGAAAACCTCTGGCTGGGATGTCTCAGTGGGAGATGGGTGTCCACCTGGAAGCAAAGACATTGTGGAGGGAGCACCCCTTAATCAAAGTGGCAGAGCTTGGCGCTTGCAGTGGCACAGTTGACCAGCACCTGAGGAAGGAAAAACCAGAGAGTTACGCATTGCTATGTTACATGACAGATCCACTGGTGACTTGCCAGTTACTCTTTGAAGGAGGGAAGTTGTTACGGGCACCTGTGAGTCACCGGCCGTGGCCCCGCTCCCTGAATGTCACCCGTCTGCTGCTGTCAGAGAGTGCATGGTTTGCTTTTTCCTCTCTTCACGGTTGTCAGGTGGGCTGTAGATACAGGACGAAGATTTGCTCTGTCAGCTGCCTTGCTCTCCCTCTGGTGGCCTGCCATGGCCCCAGGAAACGCTGCCGCAGACTCCTGGCCGTGCCTGGCATGCAGAAGCATGCAAAGGGGGCCAGCTATGAAGTGAGCTCATGGAATGTGAGAGGGGATGGAGCTCCTCAAGGTCCCCGCCAGTCCCAGTTGCTGTTGAGTGGACTCCAACTTATGGTGACCCTGTGTGTGCCAGAGCAGAAGTGTGCTCCATGGGGTTTCCAGTGGCTGATTTTTTAGAAGTAGATAACCGGGCCTTTCTTCTAAGGCATCTCTGGGTGGACGTGAACCTCCAGTCTTTCGGTTAGCAGCTGAATGTGTTAACCATTTACACCACCAGGGGCTCCTTCAAGATCCCTGGTCCCTCCTATAACCTTGGATTCCGTCTCCTATTTTCATCCACGTCCATGAGCGTATCTGTGGCTAAGTAATGGAAACAATTCTTCATAACTATCTATTACAGAAGGGACTTACAAGATGCCAAAAACAAAAAGTAGAATGAAAGAAAAATGAGAGAGGAGACAAAGTGAAGCCAGAAATGAGGTTAAAAATGTATAAAATGTAAACCTTCGTGACTTGTGTGCTCGTAAAGTTGCTGGAGTGGGGCTGCAGGTGCTGGGTCAGCACGGGTTCCCCACCCTGGCCGCACCTCAGCATTGAAGAATGCCAAGCGATCTGAAAAATGCTGGGACTGGACCTCAGAGCAAATAGATTTAGCTTCTCTGGGGAGGTGGACCCAGTCACTGGTAGCTTTGAAGTTCCCCAGTGTGATGGTTAAGATTGTGTGTCAACTTGGCTGGGCCAGGATTCTCCGTGTTTTAATGTAATCACTCCCATGATTGAATATACTGTGAGTAGCCAATCAGATGAAAGGCAGTCTTCTTGGGGGTGTGGCCCGCATCTGTATATAAGCAGACGTTCTGGCTTTTTGCTCTCTCTGCATCCTGCGGCTGCTTCCTGTC